AAGGACTCTTCTTTGACTTGTTTGTAATAATTGAAATGGCTATCCATATTTTCCTTAAATTTATTCATTATTTTAAACAAATATTTTAGTGCCTATTAGGGCATAAATAATGTCTCAGTCAGGATTTTAGGAAATAGTAAATGCCTTTTCTCTATTACATTAGTGGGCTTTCATCATAGTAAAGGAAAAATAAACTATTAACGTCATTCTTTCAGCAAAATATACCAAATAGAAGATAATTGTTACAATTAAATGCTTTTGATTATTAAGATCTCTTGGAACAGTTACCTATTTCAATATAAATATATAATGAATGGAATCAATATGCAGAGTTGATTTCCATACATAGAGTTGGCTCTCTTTCTTTCAGATTTGGGCCGTATGTATAATCTTGTATCTAGAATTCAAGATGGCCTAGGAGAATTGAAAAAACTACTAGAAACACACATTCATAATCAAGGTCTTGCAGCAATTGAGAAGTGTGGAGAAGCTGCTTTAAATGTAAGTAACAACTGAAAACAGTTGAGCCTAATTGTTTTCATACACAACTGCAGTTGTGTTCAGTGCATCTCTGTCCATGAAACTAGGCAGTTAAGGTTTACGGAGGCTCTCATATAGAACTTGTTTTGGCTTTTAGAAATAGAAAGTTCACAGACATCTTTGTTTAGCAAAAACCTCTATATTCTCCAGCACTTTTTAGGTACTGGGAATCTTTTTCCTTTTTTCATTTCTATCTTCTGTTTTTATAGCTCCTTCATTTATATCTACTGTTCCCAGCTGCCTCCATAGAAAAGAAATGCTAGAAACTTTTCCTCTTCTGATTGGAGTCCGAGTTGTGCTTCTCAGAAATTTTGGTCTAAGTAGTTCCCTATAACTGAAAGTCACAGGCTTTTTGTCACAGGCTTCTGAAACTTGTGGCATCTCTTTTCACCCCAGAAGCTTCATTAGACTATTCCCTCTAACCTAGGTTTCTCTACTTCAAGTGGTAATTTATACATAGGAAATACCACATATCCAAGAAATAAGGTCAATTGCTTTTAGTTTTGTTCCTATAGACTTCAGTTTTAACAGTGTTTGGAAAAACTGATGGAACAGAAACACCTCCAAAACACAATATCCTGATTTTATTGTGCATTAGGTTAATTATTTTTGATAATACTACCTTAAGTGGTTTTTGTTGTTTTATTTTGGTTTTTAATTCTTATTTTTCTCCTACTTCTAGAGAGTTCCTTTTCTACATTTAATTTTGTAATTTGTAAATTTGTAATTTAATTTTTCTGACACATCAAGGAATTATTTAAAAAGTAACTTTACATTTACAGTGTTGGAAGAAGCTAGCTGAGTAGTGGTTTTGTGAAAAAAAGAAAAAAAAACTTTGCAGGTTTTTTATATATAAGCTTAAGTATAAATTTTCTAATTTGAGGACCTGTAAATGTCATTATAATGTAGCAATTGATCACAGACTCTGGACTATGATCTACCTGTTTCAAATCATAGCATCACCATTTACTAGCTCTGTGATTGTCATCAAGTTGTATCACTTGTTCAAAAATTGAGAAAATATGTGACTAACTAGTACATGCAGAGTGCAGTCAGGGCACATGAATGCTCAGCAGTGGTGGCTGATGTTCTTTGCTAGTGTGCAGTTTTTAAATTTAAACTCATTTAAGGGCTCAGCTGGTAGTGCTTGCCTAGCATGCACAAAGCCCTGGATTCCATCTCTAGGCCCACATAAAGTGAGCATAGGTGTGCACACCTATAATCCCAGTATTCAGGAGGTGGAAGCAGGAGATTCAGTTCAAAGCCAGGCTCACCCTACATAGCAAGCTCAAGACCAACGAAGGCTATTATGTTACACTGTCTCAAAAATAATGGGCGGTGGGGAGCTGATTCAGTGGTTAAAAGCACATACTACTCTTAACAGAGAACCCAAGGTCAATTCCCAGCAGCCATGTCAGGCAACTCATAACCATCTGTGACTCCAGGTCCTGTAAGATCAGACACTTTTGGCTTCTGCGGGCACCTGCAGTTATGTGCACACAGCTACACACAAATACACATATACGCATAATTAAAAATAATTCTTTAAAAAATATGTTGGTGGCTTCTCTTTTCAAACTAAATTCCTTTTGTAAAGTCCTGACATATGTACAAAACATACTCCTGTGATTCAGAAGGGGCTTGAGTGAAGACATGTTTTCAATAAAACAAGGTTTTTCAGTTGTTAATTCAAAACTCAGTTTAACTATGTGGCCAGCAGAGCTAAGTAAAGGATTTGGCTTTCCTTGACATGAAGGTAGTGGTAAGTCTGGTATTTCATCAGATAGGGATCATAGTAGTGTACTGATGAATAAGGTTTTACTTTTTCAAAAAAGTATTTGTATATTAGACATGAAATTGGTCTTAGGGGACTCACTTTCTGTGTGAATTCTAGAGTAAAAATATAAGTTGCCCATTTTCATGAAAATGATGGATATTCTAACGTCATCCATCCGTGGAGAAAAGTGACAGCTTAGTAACCTGTGTTACGTCTGCCTTCACTTTGAAGTCAGATGTTCAATTTTCTAAAGATTTATTAATTTTAATTATATGTATTGGGGAGGGAGGGATGTGCACCTGAGTGTAGGTTCCTGTGGCGGCTAGAGGAATTGAATCCTTTGGACTTGGAGTCATAATTGGTTTTGAGTCACCTAATGGATGCTAGAAACTGAACTTGGGTCCTAGGGAGGAGCAGTGCATACTCTGAACCACTGAGCCATCTTTCAAGCCCAGTTTTTTAAGAGCTTTGTTCTTAATTATGTGTATATAATAGGGGGTGGGGGCTATGTGGACTATGTGCAAGTGACCAAGGAGTCCAGAGGTATCTGATCCCCCTGGATCTGGAGTTACAGGAAGTTGTGAGTTGTCTGGTATAGGTACTGAGATTAAACTCAGATTCTCTGCAAGAACAATATCTCTTTAAGAGCTGAGCCATCTCTTTAATAGATTAAAATTAATTATAATTATTTCCATAAGTACTATTTTTATATTGAACTCCTGAAATTGGTGTTTTTTCTACATTGATATTCTTGGGAAGAAAAACTTTTTTGAAGGGATGGACAAGTACTGCTCTTATTTTCTGCAAAAGCAGTTTCTTCCTGAATCTCAGTTCTACTCTTGCTGTGAAGCTTAGCTATCTCCAAAGTTGCCATCCATTCTCACTGGTATTTACTGTGCAGCCCTCTCTGGCCTGGCTTTCCATTGGTAGAAGATTCCAGAAGCAGCACTTGAGCCTGTCATAAAGATAGCTCATAGTAATGGAAGTGGGCATTAAATTATATGTGATGAGTGCAAAAGGTAACTCCATACTGAAAACAGCAACAGAAAATAGAGGTGGTATGAATTTGTAAAAGTTGAGTTTAATTACTCTGAGAGCATGATTTTTAAAGTTGCCTTTGCTCAACTCAAGTGTAATGAACATATTTAAGTGATTCCCCTTGCCTAGATTTAAATTATTATTAAAGGTTTCATATTCATGATGTGATTTAAACAAAATTTTTAGTGGTAACTACTTTTTCTTAGGGGCATTTTTCTAATAGTTAAAACTTTTGAAAAGGAAAAATTGTCCCCAAGTCACAGGCTGCACAGGGGCTCTGGCACCTGATGAAAGTAGCTGAAAGAGCCCTTCAAATATGATGTTCACAGATTCAGTGCCTTGCTCATACCACATCGCGCCAGTGCTGCTCCAGAAATGCCCACCTTGCTCATGGCTTCCCTAGAAGGTGGCTGCATGAATTGCAAAGATCAGTGTGGTCCATGCTACCTACCTCTCTACAATCCCAGGGGAGAGAGGGGATCAGGGCATCATTCCCCTCTGCTATGCTGGCAAGTGAGGATACTGCATTGGGGCACCAGGATTTTGGGAGCCTTAGAGACAGAGAATGTATTCAAGAATGGAATAGAAACTGGTTTAGAGTTGAGCAAAGATAGGATAATTTTTAAATACATGAGTTTTACACCACACTTGGCTTTTAAACTAGCGAGTGGAGCAGCAAGGTAAATTAGCACATTTTTCATGAAGTGACTTTAAGACTCTGGAAGTCAAAAACTTGAAAGACCTTGTACAATTATATTCAAACATTCAGTAGTTGGCATTATAGTAAAGTCTGAATTGAAACAAAGGAAGAGGCTGGGCCCATGCACTGGGGGAGAACTTGAACGTAAGTGCATTTAAATGTAATTGAATGCCACTGTTTGGTCCTAGAGCAGTCTTGTCTGTTTCATCTTTTCTCTCCTTTCCTCTTCCCTTTCCTTTTTCTGCCATAGTGCCTTAGTAACCTTATGATATTGGTTTGATACTAGAATTCATAGAGCCAACCAATGTTGCAGATAAAGTTGGAATCGTTTTTATCCTTTTAGTAAGCACAGTGTTCCTGTAATAGTCTTCTTTTGCCCCTATTTTCAGACAAATGATTGTACCATCATCCCTGAACTAACATTTATTTCTCCCCATGACAACCATCCTCGCCTTCTGCTTGGCTTAATTTCTTGCTTTTAAGGCCAGCTCACATCATCTGTTCGAAAAAAGCTTCCTTTAAATATTCCTCCTTAAGACTGATGGTGTTTGTAAAACTCCCTTTACCACTGTAGATGTGTTTCTAACTTCTGTGTTTCTATCTCCCCACCATAGATTGTAAATACCGTAAAATGAAGCCAACACCTCAGTACTCCAGTGTTACACTCTTCATAGCTTGAGTGTCTAGCATCTTACCCAGGAAATGTCCATTGGGAGGAGTGGGAGGAGTGGTGGTGACGACAATGGTAACAGTGAGGAGCCATGTGCTGAACACTGCTGTCTCCTCAGCGTCTCTTCATGCTGTCTACATCACTTGAGCTGAAGCACTCACAGCTCTACATATGCCTTGCTCTGCCTTCCTGTTTACTCTTGTCTATTGAGATGCAGACCTTTATACCTGTCAAACATGTATTTATCTTTTAAAGGTTTTGTTTTAAAATTATATATATGTGTGTACATCTGAGTATGTTACATGTGTGCATCTGAGTATGGGTTTGTGCATAGGAGGCAGTGCCCATGGAGGCTCAAAGGGGGCATCATTCCCTCCAGCTCCATATTTATCTTTTTAAACTGCAGCTCAAATGTCATTTCTTCCTCAGTCTTTCTCAATCACCTTGAATAGTAGCACATTCTATGATGTAAAGCATTTATTTGATCTGCTTCATGGTGTAGATGTCTATGGACATGCCTTCTAGCACAGCTGCTTTATCCACTTTAGTATCCTCAGAGTGAAGCTCAATGCCTTGTGTAGAACGAGAGTCCCAATACTCATGTGTATACTCATTGTCATGTCTGAGGGTACCTGTACCCACATGCACAAAGCACACACCCACAATTGACAATAACTCTTCTTTTAAAAACAGAATTAAATTGAGTAAATCAGAGTAGCAGAATAAAGATGTAAAGTACATACGAGAGGTGTGCAGTATAATCTAGAGCCCTTATT